CATGATATCAATATCGTGACGATGTTTTAAAACATGTAAAAAATCACTTTAAAGCAATATAAAACTGATTTAAAACATTCTGTTTTAAATTATTTGCCATAAAATTCATGTGCACAATTTTTTTTTTAGTGTGCACAATTTTTTAAATTGGAAGTGCACATGTGCACAAAGATTTTTTCTAATTCAAATTTTTAAAATGTGCACAAAAAAATTTTTCCTATGTGCACATGTGCACAAAAATTTTTTTTCAGATTTTATACGGGTTATATCTACGGAATTAAAAACTGAATCAGGCATTGTATCAAATTAAAAACAAGATTATATTTCAAATTTAGTAATATTTTGTTTTGATATAACATATCGATATCTATAGATCATTTCTTTAATATATAACATATCGATATCTATAGATCATTTCTTTAATATTTTCATTTTGAAAGCACTTTATTTTTGTAAAATTCTATAACTGATAATAAATTGAACTTTTAAATATATTCGTATAAATTCGACAATATAGAATTATCTCAATAAGGGTAAGCACGCAATGCAGTAAAATACTTTTTATAAAAGCCGTAAAGGCAAAAGTGATGGTTTTTTAACATAAACAAAAAAGATTACTCAAGGAAAACTGTTAAAAAGAGTACTGCTGTTATAAAAATCGTAATAGCAAAGATTTAATACATTAAACAAGATAACCTGATATAAACTAATTTAAGTGCACCAGAAAATCAACATCAGAACTCTTATCAATTACCATATACTTTATATATGATTTGTAGAGAATCGAATTTATTAGACATAATCCTTTCTTAAAATACTAAATGAATTCAGAATCAACGACACCAAGCCAATCACCTACAAAGATTTCAAAATTGCTAACCGATATACCTCTTTCTAATAATAACAACGATAATAACGCTTGGAATAAAAATATTATAAATGATATATCCTTTTCATTTACAAAAGTAGATTATGATCAAGAAAGTTTAAAGAAAAAGAGTAAATCATTTGAAGAAAATCTAAATGGTTACATAGTTAATGCCAAGAAAAATATGGAATCTAAAAGACATCTTTGGCAAAATACTATAACAAGCAATAAAGGTAATTTAAATAATCAAATATTTTTTCTTTGAATTTCAAATAAGAGAAATTCAAGAAAATTGGATTATATAAAAAAAAAACAAAATTAGGAGAAATAACAAAATTGCAAGAAGAAATTAAACAATTTGAAAAAATGCGTAAGGAATTTATGAAATGTAAGTTGACACGTTTATACTTAGAATTATTTAACTTTGAAATTTGCATAATCACGCTATAATATCAAATTAAAAGCATTAGAAAACGAAAAAAAAGAACTTTCAAAAATACAAATTGAAATTACGAATCTTAAATTAGAAGAAAGTTCCAAAAATGAAGAAATTATTGTGTTGAAAAAAAGAATTGAGAGAGTCGAAGAAGATATTAAGCAACAACGTGAAGGTAAGAACAGTCTTATCATTTTATAAATTATAATATTTTGCAAATTCTATCACATTTCATCTCTGATAGCCATCGAGGTCAAACGAGCATTGCTAGAAACACAACTCTCGAAAAGCTCCCCAGAATTAAACATCTTTACTGATAAATTGGCGTTAACAATGGCACGTGTACGAGGTACTCAAATTTGATTTCCATCATTAAATGCCTTTACAAATAAATATTTACACTCTTTACGAGTAGACGATGTGATAAGTTTTACATTCACGTGCATTTATGATAACAATTCGTCTCTGTCATGTTACTTCACAATCGACGTTGGAGAAACAATGTATAAAGGTATTAATTAAATACGGTCAACTCTCTCTAAGTGCAATTCAGACTTCAGAAGCATGCATTTAGAGAACAATTAAGAAAATTATATTTATAGAGACCAAATATACTTGGGCCAGGATTTTAAGTTGCATTTAAAGAGAGAGATTGCACTTAGAGAAAGTTGATTTTGTTGTCTGAAAGTTTAATGTTGCAATGTTGCAATTATCAACATTAATTTTTGTCTTGCTTGTTTTATGATAGTCATAGAATGTTATCCTTTGCTCGAAGAATTAGATGAACTGGTTTCACAATTAAATACTAGTCGTGATTTCTTTTCATTCCTGAAGAAAATGAGGCATGGCTTTCGTAAATACGCAAAAGCAGATACCTAAGTAATTTATTCTTTTCAATGTACAGTAAATGAATACTTTTTGTTCAAATTCTCCAAGTTTACCAAGTAACGAAAGCATACATTTACGCAATTTCATTCTATTGCGGTGTAAAATATTTATTAGCCATCTTTTCATTTGTCAATGATCACGTAAACGACAAAGTTTAGCATCAAACATTATATACAATAACCAGATGTGAACAGTGCTTTATAAATGAATGATCAATTTGTAATCTTAATTGAAGGATTATAATTGTAAATAACGATATTACAGTACTGTTTAGATGACTTAATAATTGTCGTGGCTAAGAGTGCTCTCAAGCATCTTCTCAGTGTAATTAGCTATCTATAAAGATCGTGCACAAGTACTACGATCAATTGAAGTAAACCTTACGGCAATTTTGTCGAAAATTCACGTTGCGAAATGCGGATATTAAATTTTAGCCACTCAGCACAACTCTATGATAAAAAAGATGGACCGAATAATTTATTTTCCACTAATTAAAAATTGAACTCAGACCTATTGATTTAGATCTTGAGAGCACCCTAAAGCTGAAAATTAGGGACCTTGATTTTAAAATATAAACTCTACCACTTATACTCTTTTGTTATCAAAACTACCCTAAATCCTAACCTAACTGCATTCCTCCCCCAAAAAAATTTCATATTAGGCCACATAAACTTAATTATTTCTCATTTTAAAGTGACCCGCCCGGCCGGCTTTGATCTTTACAGCTGTTCTCATAAATTCTGGAAACTTTGGCAAAAGTTGACCGACCGAATATTTGCCGATTCGATAAGCTTTGATTTAGCAGTGATAAACTTTTGATTCGGATGTAATTACATCTGAATCAAAAATTTATCACTGCTAAATCAAAGCTTATCGAATCGGCAAATATTCGGTCGGTCAACTTTTGCCAAATTTTCCAGAATTTATGAGAACAGCTGTAATTATTAGAAAACTATTAAAAACATATAAATTTTTTTTTTAAAAACTCGCTCGGAAGTATTCATAATATATAACATAAAATTTTGGATTGAAACTTTACAAAAGCTAACCCGGTCGGGTCATGAGAAACAATCAATTAATTTTATATGGCCTTACGGCTGTTTTCATAAATTCTGGAATGTCTGGCAAAAAATTGACCAAACGAATATTTGCCGATTAGATAAGTTTGTGATTCAGAATGATCGTTGCCGAATTAGAACATATCGAATCGGCAAATATTCGGTCGGTCAGTTTATGAAAACAGCTGTAAGCTACTTAAAAGTTTTGGCTTCGGCCCAGTCGCGACACTAATTGCTTAGTTACAAGGCTATTCATGTTAGTTTGGTTTGTCTTTATTATTGGTTTGAAAATTTTAAAAAGATCGTAAATTTATAAAGTACGTGGTATTTCCTTCACGACTATACTTTGAATAAAATCCCCTTCCTTAAAGTCTGTAAATCCCTCAAATGATATACCACATTCTAATCCTTTCTTCGCCTCCATAATATCTTTTTTTATGTGTTTTAATGATTCTAATGGACCTATTTTTATTTTTAAGACAGAAGCTTAGTTGCATAGATCAGCTCCCAAATCATTATAATTTTAGTAATAGGCTTACCTTCCCATATTTGTTTGTTATTTCTTATTATTCTCACTTGTTGATTCTTAAAAATTGTTCCATTAACAATTCTACAACCAGCCACTGGCCTAAATTCTCTACTTTTAACATTTATTTGAAAAACCTGTAATATTGTTGCTTCACCTGTAATACTTGTTTCCAATACAGGTGGTAACATCTTACTTAACCTGTTTTTTATACCATCCAAAAGTTTATAAATGATATTGTAACACATTATTTCAACATGTTCTGTTTGAGCTAAAGAACTTGCTCTCTTGTCAACCTTAACATTGAATCCTAATATTGCTCCTGAAACAAAAATAAGTTGTTACAATTTGAAATAAAAATTTCTAAATATACGGACATAAACGTTTCATACCCTGTGCTGCAGCAGCCATTTGAACATCTGACTCGCTAACATCACCCACTCCAGAATCTACCACATTCACGTGAACCTCTTTGTTCCCAATAGAATCTAGGGAATCGATGATAGCTTCAATTGATCCACTTACATCACCTAAAGATATTTATTAATTAATGGCCAAAATATAAATTACAATTTAATAACAATAAAAAAAAAAAGAAAACCTTTAACGACCAATCTTAATTCTTTTATTTGGGTTTCCTCAGGCTTTACTTCCATATTTGAAGACGGTGGTGATGGCATAGTAGGGTATTCTTTAATCATCCCACGATGATACATCCACACTTTCCTTTTGAAATCTCTGATCGCAGCCTGATCAACTTCTAGCTCCTTCTTACGCTGCCTCCTCTTTTCATTAATAACTTCTAGATCTTTTATCTGCTTTTCACGTTCTATCTTTCTCAATCGATTAGCAACTACAGTTTTAGCAAGTTCCTATAAGAATGAAATAACATTTTATTTATGTAGTTTGTGACCACTGTATTAATTTAGCCTCATGCACCGACAATTACTTCATCTTTAGCCTGAAGGACTTCATCACCAGAATTTGGCGTTTCCCTCCAACCCATGACTTTTACGGGAGTGCCAGGTGGTGCTTGCTTAAGCGATTGCCCTTTATAATCGCTCATCATTCGAACTTTACACCAACTAGTGCCTGCTACAATAACATCGCCTTGCCTTAAGGTTCCGCGTTTAACCAATACTGTCGCAACATTACTGATAAAGACAATTAGGTGTAAATTAACAGTAAATCCAATTAATCAAAATTTTAAATATGTCTTGGGTGACTTACCCTTTGCCTTTTTCTATTTGTGATTCAATAATAACACCTTCTGCTTCAATATCAACTTCAGCACGATAGTCATTTAACTCTGCCAATGCTATTATAGCTTCTTCTAATGTATCCAAACCTTTTCCCTGAATAAATATGTTCCTTGATAAAAAAATTGGTAATTAATTAAACACATGCTAAATTGAAATAAATACTCACAGTTAAGGCAGAGATTTCAACACATTGAGTATCACCTACAAACTCTTCAAGTTCTATACCATGCCTCATGAGAGAATCGCGTACTTTTCTCTACACAGTATTTATTTATATCAAACATTACATTATCACACATAAAATATAGAATTCACATATTTCATGTTTACATACCACATTTGCATTATGTTTATCAATCTTGTTAATTGCTACAATTATGGGCACTAGTTAAAATGAATAGTAATAAAAAAATTAACCCATTCGCCAGAATAAAGAAAATATATATAGTCGACTCTCTTTTGCTAAGCATAGAAATTTTAATATAAAAAGAAAAATAAAATTTTGCATTTAAAAACATAGAATTTGTATTGTTCAATATACGGGTAACACTTGCATTTAGAGAAAATTTTATTGAGTTGCATTTGAAGAAAATTGACTATATATATATGTGTGTATATATATACATATATCAAATACTTTGATTCAAAGTTTACCTTCAGCATCCTTAGCATGCTTTATTGCTTCCAATGTTTGTGGCATTACACCATCATCAGCAGCAACAACAAGGACAACAATGTCAGTTACGTGCGCACCTCTAGAACGCATAGCGGAAAATGCAGCATGGCCAGGAGTATCAAGAAATGTAATGGTATTTTGTGATGGTAATGAAACTGTTTGAAATATTTACAAACTAAATAAATAATGAAAATATATATAGCTTTGTAAAATCTTTAATCTGTAGTCAGGTACCAGAAAAAGCACCAATGTGCTGAGTTATTCCGCCAAATTCACTAGCTGCTATTGATGTTTTCCGCAAAGCATCTAGCAATGTAGTTTTTCCTGTTTTAAATAGAGAAATCAGTCAAATCATGCTAAACTATATAATTTGACTATATAAAATGACATAATGTATGAATACCATGATCGACATGCCCCATAATGGTCACTATTGGTGGTCGAAGTGGATATATAGACATGTCTTTTGGCATTGCTCTTAATTTTATATAAAAAAAATGAATAATTATATTAACTACCATTTCAAAATATGAGCAATTAAACAACCATGTACTACTTTGGAAAAAGGTCAATTTCATCAACCGAATCAACTATGGGATTTAGATCATATTCCATCGCAATTTGCGATAGGGAAGAATTTGTCTTTTTTTCAAACAAATCGTCAGATAATTTTGGCTGTCTTTGTGTAAAATCGTCATCAACAACATCGAAAAGTTTTTTTGGATTGGTCCATTTATTTATATCAGATTTTTTTTTTAAATGATTGAGCGCTTTTTCAATTTTAAAATTTTTATCCTCAGGATCCAAAGGAGTCAACAAATTGGGGTCTCTCTTAGGCTTACGATTACGATTATATTTCAGAACGCATGATGTAGTATGAATGGACGATGATACAGGACGAAACTAGGTTGAAATATATGCGATAATTGTTAGTAAATCGTGGCAACACCAACCCATTTCCAATAAAATAAATAAAACTTGTGTAAAACCTTTATCAAAAGAACAAATTAACTCCATATATATGCATATATAGTGTTTGTAAAGAGTGTTTTTTATTATTTGTGCTCACCCGAACTTTCAATAAAAATTTCAATGTTTGCGAAGAATCTCGCCAATTTAAGACTCTGCAAAAATTTTTTCTGAAATACATCCTAACAAAAAAAATATAATTCTATGTGTGATCAATTATTGCTTTATTAAGAACCTAAAACCGGATGATCTGCAGATTCGAACAAGTCTACACCTCAAAAAATAATCTA